TCCAGTCTGTCCTCCAGTCTGTCTTCCAGTCTGTCCTCCAGTCTGTCCAGCTTCCTGATGTCCTTCTGGTCCAGACTCTGATGTTCCGTTTGGGGTTCCAGGGTTGGGTGATGGAGGGAATCCCTCAGACCCGTCTGCAGGTTCTGCAGCTCCAGGAGGCCGGGATCCTCCCAAAGCATGTTGGTAAGAACCGGTAAAGGACGGCGTCCCGGCACGGCCGTCCTGCAGCTGCTCAGAGAGGCTCTGCTCTGTTGGCAGTGATGCTGGAGACTCCAGAGGATGTTCTGCTGCTGAGGAACCGAGGGAAGCTCATCGACCCGATCACCGGGGGTGAGTTCAGCTCAGTCTGGCTCAGACTCACCAGCAGATCAGAACCTGATCATCGCCACTTCCTGTCTGCAGACGTCTACCATCAGGCCTTCATCCCTCCAGACGACAAAGCCGTCGCTCTGCGCCTGCAGCCCGGGCGAGGCCTGTCGGACGAGCAGCTATTGGCCGAGCTACACCGTTACCGCTGTGAGGTCACAGCTGTGAAATCAGCCTATCAGCACGTCCTGCAGGTCGTCAACGGAAACCAACATCCTGCTGATGTCTACAAACAAGGTAGAGCTTCCGATGGAGGAGGGGGAGGAGCCTGATCGCATGAGTAGAACAATGTAGAATAAAATAGAATAACATTTAATAGAATGCTTGAAAAAGTTCAGTTTAGGCAACTGGAGGTAAAGTTTTCTAGAATATGTTCCTCCTCATATCGAGAGGCTTCTTCAGTTCTAACCAGCGGTGGGTTAATATGCTGACTGACTGTGGAGCTGCCACCAGGGGGGGCTTCTCAGTGGGTGTGTCTCTGAGTGGGGAAAATATATTTAAATGTCTAATTATTCTGGCTTAAACGTGTATATAAATTTACTCTTTATAAAGTATCGTTTGTCTTTATTTAGAAGTTATAGATGTTGTGCTCGTTAATTTTCCCGTTGGAACAGATTGACCCTGAGCTTCATGCTCCTATCAGCTTTCAGCCCCGCCTCGTTGTTCATTGGTTACCGCCTGGCCCCGCCTCTGATCAAATGCCAAAATCAGATGTGCAGCCATGTAGCAGTAGCTTTGCTGAATGGCTGGATATAGATCTGTGCTTCTAGACCTCACTCAGGGACGGGGGGGCTCTATTTATAAACGGTATGGAAGGGACCAACGACGGTAACTTGCCCTATAAAGGGTTAAAGCATTCGTGGTTCCCACGACCATATCCAGGTCACGACCACTGTTGTTACAA